GCAACTCAACAAGGTTCTAATCGTCGACAACTTGGGATACAATCTGCTAAGCGTCAGTCAGCTAATGGAACAAGGGATTCACCTGGAATGCGACTCGGACGCCAACGAATTTCGTCTTTACCACGGGAAGGGCGCCCTCTTCATCGGTCGCGCTCTCGTAAAGTCGAGTGTCTTCGTGTTGGATTTCGTCCCCGACCGCGGTACTGCCGACAGCGATGGCATCGTGTCGTTCGCCGCCTTGACGCACCCGCCGGATCTTGACCACGACTTTACCCCAGATGGATTCTGGTACTCTAACACCATACCTGCAGCCGAGAGAACACGAGCGTTAGCAGTCATCCGACAGGAAAGACAAGTACCAGCAAGCGTCCTTTCCCCGACATCACCTGCAGTAGCAGCAGCAGGACCCACCCGTGTACCATCACCAGCAATCCGAGGACCACCAGCCGAAGCAGTTCAAGTTATGCCCATCACCCGAGAAGTCTGCCGAAGTCCTGCCACGATCGTCGCATTCTCCTCCAACGCCGACACGTACCAGCACTCACCCGGCCGTCGCGCTCCCGACGACATCTGGCATCAACGTCTCGGGCATCCTGCAAACAGCACAGTGCTATAAACCATACAAGCCGAAGTGTTAGAAAGAAACGCCCTTCTCACAACGAGTGGCGAAGAACTTCGACGACCCCGCGCACGATGCTTCACGTGCCCCGAAGCCGATCTTCCCCACCAACCATTTCCGTCGCACCACAATCCAAGCGCACCTGCATACGAACCGATGGAAAAATTCTACAGCGACATCTTAAATATGCCTCAAAACGACAGTGAAGCAGAATACAACTACGTTATAACGTTCATCGACGCAGCAACGCGATACGTCTAGCACTACAACCTCAAGACACGAGATCAAGCGTTCGAAGCCTTCACGGCATGGCTGCCCATCGCTGAACGCGAATCAGGCTCACGACTCAAGAGCTTCCAGTCAGACGGAGCACTGAAGTACCAGTCACAACGATTCAGGAACTACTTGGCAGAAAGAGGCATCAGACGGCTGGTGTCTCTGCCCTACGCTCACCAACAGCAGGGGGTCACAGAGAGGATGAACCGGACCTTGCAGACGACGATGCGAAAACTGCTCCTGGGGATGAGACTGCCCGACACACTGTGGCCAGACGCGATGACGCATGCAGTTCACCTGCACAACTTTCTGTCCTCGTCATCACTCCCCAACAGCGCATCACCGCACCTGCTGTGGACACGAAAAAGGGGCAGCACAAAATTACTTCGAGTCTTCGGCTGCATGGTACAGTACAGACCCCACACAGCTCGAGCAGGACGATTCTCTCAACGAGCATGGTGGGGACTACACCTCGGGATCGCAAAACATTTCCAAGCATGGAAACTCCTCGACATACAAGACAAAAATATTGTGGCCTCACGTGATGTATTTTCTACGAGCGAGTGACGCTGCAACATTACCTGGACAATGTCGCCAACACAGAGGACCCCACCGACGGCTTCGAGGGCCTTCGGTCCTTCGCCGACCGTGCTGCCAAAGCTGACGCAGCAGAAGAAAACGTACCCGAAGCCTCGGAAACTGCCGGACCACTCCCTTACTGCTCCGTGCCTTTTCCACTCGACGACGACAATCCTCTCACTAGTAGCAACCTCGACACCTATTACCACTTCGCTGACCAAGGAGCCTATACCGGGAATGAAAATTCCCCTCGGCACACACCCACGGGCCTGCAGATCCTTGGACTATGGGTCGCCGTCCAGAGCCCGCCGCCGCCGTCTCCACGCGAGCCAACGACTCTGTCGCAGGCTCTTGGGGGGGAACATAAGGTGAAATGGAAGGAAGCAATGGAAAAAGAACTGAAGGCCCTGCAAGACCGAAACACGTGGAAGCTTGTACCTGCAACAAAAACCAACGGGAAAAACGTGCTCTCGGGAAAGTGGGTGTACCGCATCAAGACTAATGCGGACGGCTCCATCGAACGATTCAAGGCTCGCTGGGTCATACGAGGATTCGATCAGCGATACGGAACCGATTACACAGAGACATTCGCCCTAGTCTCCCGTCACACCTCCTTGCGCATTCTACTCGCCGTCGCGGCCACGAAGAAGCTACCACTGCACCAGATCGACGTCGCAAACGCCTTCCTGTACGCACATGTGGACGCCGAGATCTTCGTCGAGCAGCCCCACGGATTCATCGACGATCCCACAAAAGTATGCCAGCTGATAAAATCCCTCTACGGGATCAAACAAGCCCCGCGGCTTTGGCAGCAGCATCTTCACGGCCGCCTCGTCAGGATCAGGTTCCTACAGCTGCCGCACGACCAAGGCATGTACCGACTACCGAAGGAATGGGGTTTTGTCATACTAATCGTCTACGTCGACGACCTGCTCTACATCGGCTCCACTACCGACATCGCCACCTGGTTCGAAGGGGAGCTGAGGAGTGACTTGACACTCGCGGTGTCTAACACCGTGACCCAATACCTGGGCCTAAACGTCGTCGAAGAAAACTCTGCGTTCTACCTACACGCCGGAAAGTACGCAGGCGTTGTCGCGAAGAAATTCAGACTAACGCCTATCGTAGTCGCGACTCCCTATCGCTACGGGAACGACAACGGCGGAACCTCCGCAAAACTCCCCGCGAAGCAAATCCAGGAATATCAACAGAAACTTGGCTATCTACTGTTCGCAGCAGTAACATGCCGACCAGACCTGTCCTACAGCGCGAGCCAACTGGCGACACACCTGAAGCAGCCGGAGCAAGAGGATCTCGAAGAGTTAAATCGGGCACTACTCTACTTCGTCTCTACACCAATGACCTGACTTACCTACAGTAAAGTAACACCGTCGTCCGTACGACTACTCGGCTATGTCGACGCCGACCATGCGGGAGATAAGGAAAATCGACGCTCCAGAACGGGCTACATCTACCGATTAGAACCTATCGGGACTATCTCCTGGCAATCAAGCAAGTAGGAATTAATTGCGCTATCTTCGGCTGAAGCGGAATATATCGCCCTCTGCACCGCGACCAAAGAAGGACTTTACCTGCGGGAGCTGCTCGAGGAAGCAAAAATAGCGACCATGCCCGCCTTCTCGTTACTCTGCGACAACCAATCCGCAATCAAAATCGCGAACAAAGATGGGTTCGCCAATCGAACCAAGCACATCGCCCTACCGTATTTCTTCGTCAATTATGAGATCGCGAAGGGGAGACTTCAACTCGGTTACTGCCCCACGACACAAATGGCCGCAGACTACCTGACGAAGAAACGGGCAGAGGCAAAGTTCGATTAGTGCATGCTGCTGACCGGGCAGATAAACGTCACCGAATCTGGACACATTAGCGCTCCAGAAACGAAAGGGAGTGTTGGAAATACCTCAAGGACTTAAGCATTTCTAAAGTGTGACACTACACTCGAGTAAAGCCGTATCGAGTACGCGAGTCAACGGAGGTTACACGAGGAGGTTGGAAGAAAGAACACGAAAAGACGAAAGAATCGAAGGGTCGCAATCTCCGGTTGCAACTGACCGGTACAACTGCAAGGGTGGTAACCGAACCGATCATCGAGTCGCTGTGCGACTCGATAACCGTTCTCTTTCAACTGTATTCCACAACTGCTTTACTTCCTATTTTCTATATATTGTTGTATGCTTGTTTCTTTTAATCAATCACTTGCTCTCACATACTAGTGCAAGGGTTCAACTACTCAACTTCCGCTGCACTACTCAAGCATCCTTGTACATCTGGGACTTAGTCTCTGAAAGATCCTAAGGGCTTTTTCTCAGCCCAACAACTGAAATTTAGGCGAAGTCCTCCAAAACCAGAGACATTCCTCGTCACAGACACCCAACAAACCTGAAATTTTGGCTAAGTCCTCCAGAACCAGAGACATTCCTCGTCACACACACCCCACAAACCTGAAATTTCGGTCCTCCAGAACCACAAACATTCCTTGTCACACACACCCCACAATTTCCCCAACACAACAACCAGACACATGACCCACCACAGTGTGGTGACCACACCCAATCACGAGCACGTAAAATTTTCCCCGCCCTGTTCCCGCCCCTGCAAATTCGATGTCCCTCCCGCACCCAATCACATGCTGCTGATTTTTTTCCCGCTCTGCTCCTGCCCCTGCAAATTCGATTCCCCCATACCCATCCTGCTCTCCTCTTCCCCCACCCCCCACCCCCCCCTCACCTTCCCCAACCCGCGCACGCGCAAATTCGCTGCACGTTGTCAGAAACCCAGTCACTAACCACTGGGTTAAAAGGGCTTGTTGAATAGCGGGTAAGTGCGCCCATAGCCCCCCAGGCTCTGCACCTGTGGCCCTTCCCCGAGGATCTCAAGGGCAACCCCAGCGGGTCACTCAACACCCCCCCCCCCCCCGCTGGGATAGGTGGAAGACACGAGCGCCTCTGCAGCGCTGGCACTGGGAGTTGAACCCAAGACCTTTGGCTCTGATACCATGTCAGAAACCCAGTCACTAACCACTGGGTTAAAAGGGCTTGTTGAATAGCGGGTAAGTGCGCCCATAGCCCCCCAGGCTCTGCACCTGTGGCCCTTCCCCGAGGATCTCAAGGGCAACCCCAGCGGGTCACTCAACACACGTTTGTTTCACATTTCACCTGCATTTCGCGTGCCCTTCTTTCGTGAAGCACCGCATTGTACCGCATTCCACTTCGAACTCAAAATTGAACTTGCTAAGAATGCCAAGAGTTAGACAGGGTGGCAAAAAATCTACACTTTCAGCTAAGATTTCAATTTTTTTTACCCTGCCAAATCAGACTTGGGAATTTTTTTACTCTAGACGTCAGGGTGAATTTTTTTTTGTACTCTGATTCCTAAGAGTGGCCTAAAGCCAATTTAGGGCCCTGGTTAGAAGACTAGCTAGGAAGAAGGGGCGGCCATGAAATGGCGTGAGAGTTTAGGAGCTAGGAGCTAGGAGAGGAAAGTTTGATGAGAGAAAAGAGAATGAACTAGAAGAGAGAGAGAGAGGCATACAAGGAGGGACTTGTACCCTCTACAGTAGAGTTCGATAACCTACCAAGCCTACAATTATATAACAAATATAATTTAACAATGTACACCTAAGTCATTTTTCTGAATTTAATTATCATCCAACCATGCCTCCAATCGTAACCTCTGTTTGTCTCCTATCTTGTTACCACCACCATCACCACAGGGAAAATCTGAAGAAGCTCCAGGCTCTTTCTTTTGCAAGGTTTGCTTTGACTGCCACACAAGGCGAGGCGGAGAGATGAGCCTGAGCAGCCGACTTGACATGCTGGTGGTGGTGGGCGGGAGAAGGGCGGAAGGGGAATATGTGTGCCTTAGCCAGCAAGGAGGGGAGATGAGCACGAGCAGCCGCCTTGACATGCTGGTGGTGGTGGTGGGTGAGGGAAGGAGGAGGATGCAGGGGGAAAGAACGCAAAAGAGGGAGAGGAAAGTTGAGGAGAAAGAACAGCAGGCTGAGGGTATGTGCAAGCTGAGAGGGAGAGGCATGTACTTCACACCAAGAAAATGTCAAAATCCCAAACCGAAATCTTGGGGGAAGGAAGCTCTCTTTCACCTTGTTTGTGCATCCCCCATATGAGCATCCTCAGCACCGTCCTCAACTCCCTCATTGATAAATGCAAGCAGTGCTTCTGGTCCGGTTAACGCCCTCCGAAAAGCTGCTCTGTCAGCCGTTGCTGCTCCTGCCACGTCAGCACTAGAAGCAGCAGCTGCCACATCACCACTAGAGGCAGCAGATGCCACGTCAGCACTAGAAACACCAGCAGCATCCACCACTCTTCCTGCCCCTGCTGCTCCCCCCCCTCCCCTTACCACATCAGCCCCTTCTTTCCTTGCCATTCCCTCTACCTCTGCCTCTGCCCCTTCCCCTCCCGCCATTCCCCCCTCACCCTCCCCTCTCCTCATCCCGCTCCCTCCCCGCCCACCCCCTCCTCCTCTCTACTCCCTCCCCCCCCTCCCCCTCCTCTTCTCTGCCCCCTCCCCCACCACCCCCTCCATTGCCCTGTTCCCTGGTGACCTGCGCCCTTCCCCTGTCCACCATATCCCAGCTCCCACCCACCCGTTCACTACAATCTGAAGCCGGCCGGGCTCTTGGGCTGCTCTGCGGCAGATCGTTGCCAGAGCCGGCATTGCCAGAGCAGGCTCTCACCTCCTCATCCGCATCCTCACCCCCACCCACCGCCACACGTGGCAGCATAGCAGCCTCCGCTGTGCGGGGGGCTGCAGCCTCTGCATCGCCGGGGGAATGCGGGTCGGTGGCAGCACTGCGAGCCTGCACGCCCTTGGCAGCAAGTGTGTGGAGGGCGGAATGAGCCCTGTGGTCGGCTGCAGCACTGCGAGACTGCACGCCCTCGGCTGACCCTTGGGCTGTTGGCTTCACGTCCTTGGCAGCACGGAGCGAAGGGATGTGCGGTTTCGCAGCGGCGAGGCGGGCCAGCATGCGCTGCATGGCTGCAGGCCCGCCACCTGTCATGGTGCGTGCGATGACGTGGCAGTCCGCCACGTCAGCGCAGGCGAACTCCGCCTCGCGCATGCAGCTGAGCGTGTCAGACTGGTTAGAGAAGGAGGCCGGGGGGGGAAGGGGAGGGAGGAGGTGAGGTGGGGGGAAGATTGTCATGAGGGGGCGGAGGAGAGGGGGGGTTGGGGGAGGGAGAGTACGATCTGCAGCATGCGCTGAGCTTGTCGGACTGGTTCGGGGGAGTGGGGGAGAGGAGCGATGGGAGGAGAGGAGGAGCAAGAGAGGAGAAAAAGGTTAGAGGTAATTAGCAGAGGGGAGGGAAGGTAGCAGGAAGGAGGAGAGGAGAGGAGGGAAGGTCGGAGATGGGGAGGGTAGGAAAGGAGGATGCGCATCGGGCAGAGTCTATGCGCATCGGCAGATTTTATGCACATCGGGCAGAGTCCTATGTTGGCCAACATAGGATCATAGACTATGTTGGCCAACATAGGATCATAGACTATGTTGGCCAGCATATAGACGAGGGGGACGGAGAACAGTCTATGCATGTGGTGCTGACGGCTCGTCCCCCACCCTGCGCTACAACCCTTATTCGCCCCCCTCCGCCCCCCTCTCCGCCCCCCTCTCCGCCCCCCTCCCTGCCCCCCTCTCCGCTCCCCTCCCTGCCCCCCTCTCCGCTCCCCTCCCTGCCCCCCTCTCCGCTCCCCTCCCTGCCCCCCTCTCCGCTCCCCTCCCTGCGCCCCTCCTGCGCCGCTCTCCGCCGCCCTCCCTGCGCCCCTCCCTGCCGATACAGCCACAATTTTCTGCTGCTGACCGCGCTACCTTTAGATTCACGACTGTGGGAACGTTCTTGCGCACGCGCTGCTGCACGCCAGCCAGCGCTGCTGATGGCTCGTGGGCCGCCACGAGAAGCAGATCTGCCAGGCGGTTGTAAACTGGGTGGGGCAAGAGGGGACGAGGGGAAGGGGGAAGGGGGGAAGGGGGGAAGGGGGGAAGAGGGGAAGAGGGGAAGAGGGGAAGTGGGGAAGAGGGGAAGAGGGGAAGTGGGGAAGAGGGGAAGAGGGGAAGGGGGGAAGGGGGGAAGTGGGGAAGAGGGGGTTGGCAGGGGGTGAGTGCTGCTGACGGCTCGTGGGCCGCCAGGAGCAGCAGATCTGCCAGGCGGTTGTGGACTGGTTGGGGCAAGAGGGGACGAGGGGAAGGGGGGAAGAGGGGAAGGGGGGAAGGGGGAAAGGGGGGAAGAGGGGAAGAGGGGAAGAGGGGAAGGGGGGAAGGGGGGAAGAGGGGAAGAGGGGAATAGGCGACGAGGCAGGTGTGAGAAGGGATGAAAGGGCGTGGCAGGGAGTGAGTCACGGTGCAGCTGACGGCTCGTGGGCTGCCAGTACCAAGAGGTGCGACAGGCGAGAGTGGACTGAGAGGGATTGCAATCCCTCTCAGTCCACTCTCGCCTGTCGCACCTCAGCGCGATGGATTGCAGAGGAACGGAGGCACTGAGCCACCCGCGCGCCTCCCCTCGGCGCACCTTGCTGCGCGGACGGGGCCCCCGCCACGCGCGGAGGCATGCTGCTGACGTGTCGCGAGAGACGCCTCGCTTGAAGGTGACGCCTTTCGATGAATACCGTACCTTCGAAAGATTGCTAACCAAAATTAGCAGAACCCTCGAAAGATTGCTAATCTTAGTTTTAAAAAAGAAGCCGAGCTCAAGTCGAATCCTGTCGAATTCTCAAATCAGCCCCTCTCTGGTGCATCGGCGCATTCGACCTTTGCGGCTGGTAGGAATATGACGACCTTGCTTTCTTGCTCGACGATGACCAATCTACAGAAAGAACGCAAATCGTTTTTGAGGCGCCTCAAAAGCAATCCACAGGAAGAACGCAAAATCTCCGAAATCTCCCACGACGTGAATTGGTCCTTGAGCAACGGCATAAGTTCGGGAGGTGCAATACTCGCACCGTACGCAATTAGGGCGAGTCCCAATAGTTCACGTTCTATTCATTTCGTGAAAAGTAACCCGATTTTAACAAGCGACAACTTGTTTCAGGTTTCGCCAGGCCACGTCCGAAATATTGACGTAACCTGGGACACCTTTCACATGCGTCGGGCCATGTACCAAATTTCGGATTGCAAACGTAAAAAAGCCGGAAGGTGCAAGATTCGGGGACGGGGTTCCAAGTGTGTCGCGCCTGGATATCGCCCCGCTGGCGATGGCGAAAACCGGGCGACGTCGCGAAAACATCTGCGCGCGCGACGCCATACCACATCCGCAATCGGAATGGGGGGGGCTTTGCTTCCCGGATTGTTGACTGCCTCCGATGTTTTGTCGCGCTTGCAAGTACCTACGAGAGGAAAGATTCCCCCGCTTGTTGATTGGCCCCCCTGGCTCGCCGCTGCCAATGTTTGCAAAAGCGGGATGGGTTTCCCCGCCTGCTATCTTTTGTGCGGTGTGCGAAACTTATGTTTCGCGCAGGCTTACATTTGGTAACTGCGTTTGGGGCTGTTGCGCGCAGCTCGGTTTTTTCACATGTGGACAATTGGCGTCCCGCTTGTGCGCCACGTGCGCACAGGGACACAATTACAAAGATTTGCGGAAACGGAATTGTGTTCAGGGATTTGTACCGGGATTCGTAAAATCGTGTCCCGTACCGTGAAATGAACTATTGGGACCCGCCCTTAGTCTGCTTTTGAGTCGACTCGAAAAGCAAATGGCAGAAATTCGAGAGGTGCCATCGCCCCGCGTAATTCGCGCTTTACGTATTTCGCGCCCTTCCTAATTCACGCTTCCCCTTATTCGCGCCCCAACTGATTCCCGCTTCTCCTATGTCGGGCTTCTCCTAGTTCATGCTAATTCGCGCCCCCCCACTAAATTTGCGGTCCCCCCCCCCCCCCCCCCACCCCCCACCCTTCCCCCCTAATTCGCGCCCCCCACTAAATTCGCGGTGCCCCTCCCCCCCCCTCCCCCCCTGATTCGCGCCCCCCCACCAAATCGCAGCCCTCAACAGCACACCACTCACGTTTTCCACTCCATGCAGGACCGACTGGCCGACTAGCCGACTAGCCGACTAGCCAGGTGTATTCTGAGTCAACTCGAAATATGCAGCGGCGACCAACCGCAACGCGCAATTTTCTCAAGAGCGGAGAATCGACGACAGAGCAGAGAGCGTAGGGATCTCAGACCGTTCAGACGAAAGGGGTTTTGGGTTTTGGGTTTCGGGTTCTTAGAGTAGGCTTCAGGAGTTTTAGGGGCTCGGGTTTCGGGCTTAGGGATTGGGTAATCGTTTCTGAGAGTTGATTTTTGTTGCGCCTCAAAAATCGTTTCTGAGAGTTGAGGGTTACTATGTTGCCGCCTCGTGTCGGTCGATTCTCTGCCCGTCCTCCTGCCCTCTTGCGGCCGCCCACCCCATCCCGTCTACCCTTGCTCGCCACCCCTCCTCCTTCCTTCCCGCGTGCTCTCATCATATCACCCCTTCACCGTCCGCTCTTCAGATTCCCCGTGCTCTCCGCCCACTGCCCCTTCCCCACGTTTTCCCCGCTCTCCCAGTGTCTCTCTCCCTCCTCCTCGCATCACGGCCTTTCCCCCACCGCCCCCCCCACCAGAGCCCGGGGCTGCTCCCTTTCCCCCTGCTGCTTCGTCCCTTCCTCCTCCTCCTCCTCCTCCTCCTCCCCTGTCCACTCATTCTCCACTCACTCTCAGCCCTCTCCCCAAACCCCTGAATCCCCAAACCTCAAACCGCAAGATTCTCACCCCCACGTCGACCCCAATCCCCCTTCCATCCCCTCGGCGCACCCTGATTGGCTGACCCGCCTCCTCCTCTCCCGTGATTGGCTGCTACCTGCTGCCAACGCCACCCCCCATTTCACCCAAGTGCTGCTAGGACCTACCCTGAGACATGCCTCCCATAGGGTAGACCCTCCAGAAGCCACCAATGGAGGATGGGTAGACCCTACAGGAGCCACCCCTGGCACATGGGTAGACCCTAGCCCTGACCTGCCTGCGGGATCAATCCGCACCGTTGATGTGATCCGGGACGATCTCATCCATCCGCTGGCGGGCGGCAACAAGCTGCGCAAGCTGGACGGGCTTCTGCCGCCCGTCATCCAATCAGGAGCCACCGATGTGGTATGTGATGTGCGGGTGTGATCAACGGAGGGGTTCACTGCCGTGTGGGGGTGTGGGGGTGTGGGGTTGTGAGAACGCGGGGGTGTGGGGGTGTGTATTGAACAAGCTGCGCAAGCTGGATGGGCTTCTGCTGCCCATCATGCAGTCAGGGATGACTCACGTGGTATAGTGGGGTAGTGTGCGGTGGTACGTGGCTCTTACATGGTACTGTGCGGTGGTACGTGGCTCTTACATGGTAGTATGCGGGGTGGTGTGCGGTGGTATGCCGCATGTGTCTTGCCGCCATCCCCAACCCCCTCTATCCATAATCCCTTCCATCCCCATCCCAACCCTTCCCTCCACCCCACAGGTCACATGTGGGGGTTGCCAGAGCGCCCATGCTGCTGCTGTGGGTGAGTGGCACTGGCAGTTGGGTAAATGCACTAATGTTGGCAGCTCACGCTGGTATTTGAACCCACCTGGTTTTAAGAGGGGGTACCACTTAAAGCCCGCACCCATCCCCTTTTTTCCCTGTACCCCAGCTGTGGCGTGTGCAGAGAGGGGCATTAAAGCTCACCTGGTCCTCAGGGGGGAGCCCCCTAAAGTCCCTACGGGAAACACTCTTGTCTCGCACATGTTTGCCTGCCCGAATTATGTATCTCGGGCAGAGTATGCTGACTGTGAGAAGGCGCTTCTTGTCTCCCTGTCCGCTTAACCACTCCAGCCGTGGCGTCTGCAGGAGGGGCATTAAGGCCCACCTGGTGCTAAGGGGGGAGGAGCCACGTACATCCGACACTCATGCTCTTTCCTTGTCTCCCTGTCCCCTTAACCACTCCAGCCGTGGCGTGTGCAGAGAGGGGCATTAAAGCCCACCTGGTGCTAAGGGGGGAGCCGCCTAAAGTCCTTACGGGGAACGCCCTCGTCTCGCACATGTTCGGCTGCCCGAAGTACGTCTCTCGGGCAGAATATGCTGATCGGGAGAAGTCCCTTCTTTCTCGGGCAGCTGCGGTTGCTGGTGGAGGGGGCACGGTGCAATGGGGTGCTGGCCCTGCCACGTCATCCACGAGTATTGCCACGTCAGCAGCTGAAGATGCCACATCGGGGTTGAGAGGGAAATCAGATGGGTGTGGATCAGGGGAGAAGGGGCATGAGTCAGCAGAGGGGGTGCATGAGTCAGCAGCGGGGCATCCCCGTGTGGCAATCATTCCTGAGGGCGGATCGGATGGGCTGGCTCTGCTGGGTGAGTCAACCCTGGTCAACCTGACTCAATCCTGGTCATACATAATTTTGTAATCTCCCCTCTCGTCTCATGCGAATGGTCCACCCCATTCTCCTCATTTCCCCTCCTCCCCTCCTCCCCTCCTCCCCTCCGCCCCCACACCAGGTCTCTTGCGCCTGGTACACCTGCTGGCAGTGCGGGACAGGCAGGGGGCAAATCAGGGGCACAACCGGCAACAGAGGCGGCGCGTGCTGGTGGTAGACAGCGGCACGGGCACCACTGCTGTGGGCTGTGCGCTTGCCGTGCGCCTGCTGGGGTGAGCTGCATGCGTGTGGGAGAGGGCTTTAGGTGCTGCTGGTGGTGGACAGTGGGACGGGCACCACTGCTGTGGGCTGCACACTTGCTGTGCGCCTGCTGGAGTGAGATGCATGTGAGAGATAGATTAAGTGCTGGTGCTGGTGGTAGACAGTGGCACGGGCACCACCTGCTGTGGGATGTGCACTAGCCGTGCACCTGCTGGGGTGAGATTTTCCAGTCCTCTTAATCCCAGCCCTCTCCAAAATTCACGCTCTCTCCACAACCCCTCACACCATGCTCGAGGGGCTGCTGTTTTCTCAGCCTAATTGCCACACTCAGATCCCACTGCTCACTTACGCCGTGTCCACGCACGCTCCCTCTTCCATTTCCCCATCATTGCCCGCCAGCCTGCCATGGCTGGTCGTGGGGATCATGCTGGCAGGGACCACATGCAGACTGCCACACTGCACGCTGCTGCCAGCCCTACTGTTCCCCTCCCCCCTGCTTAACTTCCTCCCTCCTACCGTTGCTTGCCGCCCAATCGCCCGCCAGCCTGCCATGGCTGGTCGTGGGGGTCATGCTGGCAGGTACCAAGGAGTATTACACTGGCCAGCAGGAGAAGCTGCTCAGAAGCTTCGCGGACCAGCTCCCGTCACAGCTCTCCGAACCCCCCCTTCCTGTTGCTGCTGCTACCGCTGCTGCAGGCCCTGCTGCGAGAGAGGGCTCACAGGGACGTGTCCAAGGGCAGCAGGGAGCCAAGGGTGTTGGGGACCAGGAGACGGAGGCAGTTGAGGAAGCAGCTGCGCTGAAGCAGCTATCAGCAGATGTTAGGAGCCAAGCTAAGCCAATTCAGGAGCAGCTGTCAGCCTGCTCGCCTCATCTTCCCCTCGCTTGGGTGCCTCGAGAAACGCCTCGCCGGTATGCCATGCCATGCCATGCCATGCCATGTCGTCAACCCCCCACTTATCCCTCTCCTCCTTGCCCGTCTGCCTTTTGCCATGGGCTTACCGTGGGCCATAAGCCATGGGTTCTACTGGGGGCTGGTTCTTGAAGAACGGCTGGGGTGGGTGTGAAGCTGGGCCGACTTGCCATAGGGGGGTTTGAGCATCCCCAGTGTCCTCCCCTCCCCCTGCCCATGCTTCTTTTCCACATTCCCCTTCCGCCCCTAACGGCCTTCCGGCTTTGGCAAGGTGGGTGAGTGAAAGCCACCTGTGGGCAATGGGTATTGCCATGCGGGTGATAGGTACTTCCCATCGACCCCATCTACGCACTTGCTGCATGGGAAACAGACACATGCAATTCTTACCCCTCTCACCCCCTCCCCTTCCCTGCCAGCTTTGGCAAGATTTTACCTGGTGAAGTCTCTCTCAGCTGTGACTTCATGCGCGCAACAGGCATCCCCATCGACCCCATCTACACCCTTGCAGCATGGGAGGTGGCCTGCGCCCTGCCTCACGCACTCACACAGGCTCTGGCACTAGCACCGGGCAGTAGAGGAGAGGCCGCAGGAGAAGAGCAGATGTATTTGGAGGTGGCCCACGCCCTGCCTCACACACTCGCACAGGCACAGGCACTAGCACCGGGCAATAGGGGAAAGGCCGCGGGAAAGAAGCAGCAGGGCCAGTCTGAGTCATTCACTCTATCGCTTGCCGAGGCATTGCTTCCGAAGCTAGGCCAGTGGCTTGGCAGCAGCAACAAGGAAGGAAGCAGTGGGGAAGCTGCAGGTAGCGGCAGTTGTATTGCTAATGATGCCGGCTCGGCTGATAGTGGTGGTGGTGACGGTGCTGATGCTGCTGCTGACATTGCTGACATCAGCATCACAGTGCTGCACACGGGAGGGACGCTGGACATGTTTGGCCTCGCGCAGAGATTCCCAGAGGAGTTCGCCCCCATGAAGTGACTCCAGGCCGTGCCATGCCATGCCATGCCATGCCATGCCATCCTCATCAATTCTATGTTAAGTGCAGCACTTTCATTATGATTCCAGAAGTGTGGCAATTGGTGGAGGGTTGTCTGAAGCTGCTCTTGAATTGCTACTGTCCTTCCCACCCAGCATGCGTCAATACTGTTACAGCATCTCAAGATACCACAAGCGGCATAAGATTGCCACAGGATGTTACCCTGCAGGCTCATCAACACCTCTGGCCCATCCGCAGTGGTGTCTATGGGCATCACCAGTTGCAGTGTCTCCCAGGGCAGTGTGGGCAGTGTGGGCAGTGTGGGCCGTGCTGAACTGCTCATGTACCCACCACCTCACAAGCCATTATCCTGTAGGTCCAGTAGCACACCTGGCCCAGCATCAGCAGTTGCATCAAGGGGCATGAGAAAATCATCCCCGAGCGCTGTATCTTTGCAGGTAGCCGTGCTAAATGCGTACCGCAACCGCATGGTTTGCAACGAGAAAACGGACCCAAAGGAACCCTGAAACACGTCAGCTTGTGCACTGATTGCCATGGTTACCAGGTCCAGCACCTGCTGGAAGGTTCCGGGAAAGCGCTTGAGGATACGCTGGTGGAAGGAGCGTAGGAGCACGAAGCGCACAGGCTGCCCGTTGATCTCCCACAGCTTGTACCATGCCTCTCGCACCTGCCAGTAAAGGGGATATGTGAGGTACGGAGCACGTTAGGAATGAGCCACGTGTGGCGCCTCTATGGGGCAAGGGGTTGCCTGTTGATCTCCCACAGCTTGTACCACGCTTCTCGCACATGCCAATACAGCAGACGGTGCACTCTAATATGAGCTTTGGGTTGGCCCAAAGGTGGAAGGAAGTCGCCAAGTATCCCACCTCATACACTCACACACGCACCAAGAGGCATCAACCCACCTCATACAGTCACACACTAACTCACCTCTTGATCAGAAGCGTCAGTCACAAGAAACAGCCGCCGGATGCCTGAAGCCGACAGCTTGCGCCACAAGCAACCTGCCACCTCAGCAACCGACAGCTGGCAGGCACGGTTACCAACGCCTTCAATGTAACCACCATCGCCACTTGCACTATCACTTCTACTGCTGCTGCTGCTGCTGCTGCTGCTACTGTTGCCATTCCTATCATCCTCAACACTCCTCAGTCCTCTTCTCTTCCCCTTCTTCACAAACCCTACACTAGACTTTGATTCCTTCTCCGCTGCCGCTGCTCTTGCTGCTGCTGCCTCTGCATCCCCCCCCAAGTCGCACCACAACTGTCCCTCCAACCCCGCTCTCTTCTCATAATTCACAGCAAGAAACGGAATTTTCGCCCCGTCGCTGCCCGAAAAAAACGTTTTCTGAATCTCCTTCGCCAGCCGCAGCACCTTCCGGTTGGGCAGGAGAGTGTACGGGTTTGGGCAGCCCGGCGAACGAACAAACGGCGCGTCACCAGGGAGGTTGACCAGATGCGGTGCATCTGGCACCTCCCAGAACGCATAAAGAAGATCCCCTACGAAGAGTACGCGGGCCGAGCGAACCTCAGAAGCAGTGTAAACCGAAAGGAAAGACCGGAGGGGGGATCGCCGGGTGAGGTTGGCGAATAGGGCCGCTCGGGGGAAGGAGAGGTCGGGACGGGCGCGGAACCTCTTAGGGAGAACGGTCTTGTCCTTGTACCAGGGGACTAGGGCGATGATTGCTATGGGGTGCGCTGCTGCTTCCGGGTCGATCGTGTCTGGAGCTGAGTCTGTGCCGGATTCCTCAACGGATGAGTCGTCCGATTTTTCCAGCTTCTTCTTCTTTTTCTTCCCCTTGAGAAGCCGTCTCCATTGGCCAGTCCCTGCCTCTTCTCCTCCCACTTCTCCGTCACTCTCTCCCCCACTTTCTCCCACACCTCCCCACTGTAGTTCCTCCTCGTCCTCTGCTACCCCTTCGACCCCCTTCCCCTCATCTTCCTCCTCCTCAACCTCCTCCACATCCCCTTTCATCCCCCCTTCCGCCCCGAGCTCACCAACCAACGCCCTCCTCCCCCCTTCTCCCTCCTCGCCCCCTCCTCCCCTCCTCTTCTCCCTTTCCCTGAATTCACCAGCCAACACCACTGTGTCCTCCCCGTAGCACATGCGCACGTGCCCGATGTCGAGAGCCAGCTCCCACGAGTGCTCGCCCCTCACGCCCTTGGCGTGGAAGCGGTCGATGATAAGTGTGCGGTTGAGCAGCCCTGCTAGCAGCAGGTGGTGCTGCAGGCACACCATTCGCTCGCTGAGCTGCACAAGCGAGGAGTGAGGGGTTGAAGGAGTGAGGGAGTGAGGGAGTAGGGGAGTCGGGGGGGTGTCCACTATGAGTGTGCGGTTGAGCAGCCCTAACAGCTGCAGGTGGTGCTGCAGACACACCATCCGTGCTCACTGAGCTGCAAGGTCAGGGGTCCTAATTCAGCGTCTACTGCCCCCTCACCTTGTGTCTCTATTTTATGGTCCTAATGCACATCAACCTAACCCCCTCACCTTGCCCTTGTGACAGGAGAGCAGCAGGTATCGGTCCCACTCTGGTTTCCACAGCAGCAGACCGTTGCTGCCACCATTGCTGCCATCAGCACCAGATTAAAGGGGCGCCTCAAGATCGACTCAACCCACCCCCCTCATCCTCCTCACCTTGCCCTTGTGACAGGACAGCAGCAGGTATCGGTCCGGCTCTGGCTTCCACAGCAGCAGACCGTTGCTGCCGCCATTGCTGCCATCAGAAGAAGCAGCTGCTGCGGCTGCGGCTGCTGCTGCTGCTGCTGTGGTGCGTTTCTCGCTGAAGAGACGCGTGGCGCCACAGTGACGCGCCAGCTGGCGGTTGCGAGTCTCAAGAGCCAATAGGAACGCAGGGACCCTGGAGCAAGGTGGTGGGGAAGGGGGGGGGGGGGGGGGAGAGACGAGGGAGAGGGTGGTACGAGAGTGGGGCGTTGAAAGATGTTGCTTCTTTTTGTGAATCCAGGAATAACGGCGGGATACTAGGAATTGAGCAGCGAGAGACATGGCCACCAGATGATCCTCCACGTGCCTCCCTACTATCCTCTGCACTCCCAGTTTACTCCTCCTGTTTACTCCTCCTGTTTACTACTCCTGTTTACTCCTCCTGTTTACTACTCCTGTTTACTCCTCCTGTTTACTACTCCTGTTTACTCCTCCTCTACATCCCTGTTTACTGAACTGTCACCTTCCCTCTCAACTGATCCCACACGCTCCCTGCTTACTGGTCCTTAGCACTCGCTGCTGCTTCAGCCTCATCTGAAGTTTCTGCATTCGTCGCATTCGCACTCGTGTTAGTTGGTAACCCTATTCGCAGCAGCTCGTTAACATGCGATCCAGCTGCCTCCTCCGCCTCCGCCTCAGATTCCTCATTCCCAGAATCGTTGTCGGAACCTTCCGCGAGTTGCTCAACGTCCGGAATCTCCGGAACCTCCGGAATCTCCGCAAGTTCCGGAATGTCCGGAGGCGCATCTAACGGCTCGGATTCTTCCGAGTCGTTGGCCGAGGCTCCCTCGGCTGACACCAACGTATGTAGCGACAAGACGAGGGAGAGGGAGATGAACAGAATAACGCATAAGCGAGGAGCTGTTTTCATGTCTTAAACTACTTGGAGGCCTGCTTGCGAGAAACAGAAGATGCTTCGTGCATTGCACAACAGAATCCAGACCTCGACCAGAGCAGCTGCTACTGAACAGAGCGAAGGCGAATCTGCCTAGAGTGTCATAGTGACAGAGGGTGTATCTGGAGGGAATGACAAAGAACATTGCTTTCTTGTTTCGAATTCCTTTGGGAGTGACAAATCCGCGCCCCCCTGCTCGAGCACGACCCTAATTCCTTCTGGAGGAAAAACCGGACCGGGTAATATTTACACATGCAGTTCTGCTTCATTCCGGACGACTATTACAGTTACAGGTGGGAAAAATAGAACCCATAGGGACACCGCATGCCATTCGGGGTGGCATCAACCCTAAAGTCTCACAACCGGGTGGGAGTATAGGGTTGATGTCACCCGAATGATATGCAGGACCCTATGGGTTATATTATTTCCTTCCCGTAAGTGTTACAACAGTCCGAAATCGTGAATCCTCCCTCGAGCTGGGTGCTCCGAAAATGTTTCCTCCAAAAATAATTAGGGTCTTGCTCGAGCAGGGTGGCGCGGATATATCAAACCTAAAAAAAAAAACAAAAAAAAAACTTTTTCGTCATTCCCTCGTGTATATGACTGGTCATCTGTCAATGCTCAAAACGGAGTATTGGTGTATAAATTTTCCTACATTAGAAACTAAATGCACATTATATGTAAGATTTCAATTTGATATGGTGTTTACAATATGCTCACATTTCGCATGCTGCTCAATGCTCATTGCACATTGCAAAGGCTTAGAATTATGCAGAGATCGGCATGGTAGGTAGGAAGTGCACAACATTCCGAAGCCAATACATCTTCTTCCATGCGCAGCATTGAGTACCATATATCAGATGGCATCGTATACCATAGATCTAGTTGAACTACTAAGCTACATCAGCCTAAGTGTAAGGAATTACGATTCCTTACTGGGACTCGCCACTGCAAGTACACGCAAACTGTTCGCGTCCGCAGGCTCGGCCCTTGGTTTTCGTTGTCAAACATATAATGTATGTTACTGTAGACTATATAGGGTTGTGCCTTAGGGAGTACAACCCATTAGGTTATATACCCTTGTATGTATTGTTCTAACTAACACTTTTTACTTTAACATGGTATCATGAGTAGGTAGGTCCCCCCCCCCCCAGCGCTTCCGCCCTAGGTCCTAGCCGCCCCGCACGTGCTGGCCCATCTCCTAGCCAGCCCCGTCGCCTCGCTGACCCCGTAGCCCAGCCCGCCCCGTCGCCTAGCCGGTCCCGCCTCCTAGCAGGCCTCATCGTCCATTCGGCCCCGTCGGCCCCGCCTCCTAGCTGGCCCTGCCGCCTGTTCGGTCCCGTCGACCCCGCCTCCTAGCTGGCCCCGCCGCCCAATCGGCCCCTTTCGACCCCGCCTCCTAGCTGGCCCCGCCACCCAATCGGCCCCGTCGACCTTGCCTCCTAGCTGGCCCTGCCGCCCAAATCGGCCCCGCCGTCCTAGCCGGCCCCGTTCTCCTAGACGATCCCGTAGCTCAGTCGGCCCCGCCTCCTAGTCGGCCCCGCCTCCTAGCTGGCCCCGTCGCCCACCTGGTCCTGTCGCCTAGCCGTCCCCGTCGTCCGACCAGCCCCGTCGCCTAGCTGGCCCCCGTCGCCTAGCCGGCCCCCGTAGCCCAGCCGGCCCCGCCCCCCCTAGCCGAACACGTCGCCTCTCCGGCCTCGTCGCCCAGTCGGCCCCGTCGTCCTAGCCGGCCCCGCCTCCTAGCCAACCCCGTCGCCTAGCCGGCCCTGTCGCCTTGCCGCCCGCGGCCCCGTCTCCTAGACGCCTCGCCGCCGTCCTCGGCCCTCTGCACCGCTCTGCACCGCCCGGTACCAGACTGCACCGCTCTGCACCGTGTTGCACCATACTGCACCGCACCCTAATGTACTGCACCTCCCTCTATCGCACAGTACCGCACTGCATCGCACATCACCGCTTTCGGCCGCCCTCTACTGCCCCATACTGTCTTTCTCCTGCTGCTGCAACCATGATGGCGGACTCGGTCGTGCGTTTCGATGCGGAGGGGCATCCGATTGAGTCCGACTCGTGGCTCGTCAACCTCCAGCGCCACATAACTGGTCAGCGGCAGGACGGTCACTCCCTAGCCGTCCACATCGACGATACGCTCCCCTGCCCGGACCCCCTTGCTGCCCTCCCCGTTGACCCCACCTCTGCTGACCATGAGTCCGCTGCAGCTGCTGCCCTTGCTCGTGCTGTCTGGCTGTCGCGCGACGCTGTCGCACAACTTACGATTAGTCATGCCCTTCCCGTGTCTGAGCGCCCCCACTTTAGGTCAGTCAGGATTGCGCAGGAGTTCATAGAGGCTGTTGTTGCGCGCTATTCCACCCTGCCCTTTACCTTCGTAGGTCCTCTGATCCTGCCATGCTCTTTCCTGACCTTGCGCCTTTCCCCACTGTCGCTGACCTAACCTCCCACCAGCGCACGCTAGACACGACCTGGCGTGCTGCCTGCACTGAGGCCCAGCTTTGTGTGTTTCAGCCCCTTATCTGCTCTACCCTCTACCTGCTTGCCACCCGCCTTCCTGACCGCCTTGCCACCGCCCGCGATAACTTCCTTAGTCTCCACCCCGCTGACCTCACCCTCACTGACTTTGTCGACACCCTATCAGCCATAGACACTCGTCAGCGCTCTATCGCCCAGTCTAGCGGTACCGTGCCTGTCTCTATCTTTCAGGGCTGTGCCCCTGCTCAGTGCTCTTACTCCGATGGTTCTGCTGCGGTTGCTGAAACGGCTCTGGCTGTGGAGTCCGCCGCCGCAGTGCAGTTTCGTCTGGTTAAGAGTCGGCGCCCCAAGGATGGGCACGGCGGAGGTAGCGGAGGAGGGGGTGGTGCCGGTCGTGGGGATGGCTCGCCTGCTGGTAGTACAGACGAGGGGGCTTGGGCTGGTGCCCCGGAGCAACAGCCCCAGCCCCAGCAGCAGCAGCAGCAGTAGCGGCGGGTCGGCCGCCTCCCTCCGGGGTGGGCTAGAGCTGGAGGTGATGGTGGTCGCAGTGGTCGCTCGCGCGGCGTGCCGTCGGGTGGTGGTCAGAGTGACGGGCATTGCCAGTACCAGCTCCAGACCGGTCCTCGCCGCGGCCTCGTGTGCGGTAAGATCGGCCATACCCCTCACTCGTTGCTTTCGTCGCTTGGACGACCTGTTCCGTCTCCGCTTCGGCCCGTCACCTGACCTCCCCGACTGGCACAATCTATTCCGTCATGATGCTTAGATCTTTGATATGGACATGGGTGGGATTAGCTCTGCTTTGTATGTACTGTATGTTGATGACTCTAGTGTGGCTGGTTCTTATTACCGTGTGTTGCCTAGCGTAGATGTGCCCAGTGTACCTAGTTCAGACTCCCCTGCTGCGTCAGGCATAGGATCCCCTGCCTTGTTTAGCTTTGGGTCCTCCACTCCTCCGATCTCTGTCGCTGCTGCCGTGATCTCCTTCACCCTGGACTCCGGAGCTTCGCGGTGTTTCTTTCGCGACTCCACTACACTTACGCCGCTTCCCGCTCCTGCTGCAGTTGCTCTTGTAGACCCTTCCTCCGGTCCTGTAGTTGCCCGTAGCTCCACTACTCTCCCCTGTCCGGCGGTTACCTCAGGCTCCCTTAGAGGCCTGCACAATCCCTCGTTCTCTAGGAACCTAGTTGGTGTCGGCTACCTCTAGGACCTTGGCGTCACCACTACGTTCCTTGGGCACGAGCGGTACGCTGTCTGTACCGAGGCCGCCACTGGTGCCCCCCTCACCACGTTCCCCCGGGACCCGGTGTCTGGCCTGTTCACGCTGGACACCGCTTCCCCTCCGGTAGGGACGCCTCCCCCGGTACCTGCGTCTTCTCAGGGTGATGTGGCGTGCTCGTGTCAGTCGCTTACTCACCCGTCACTTCTGTGGCACCACCGTCTAGGTCATCCCGCCCTCACCCGTCTCCATCACATGTCCCAACACCGTCTTGTCCTAGGCCTCCCTGAGTCATTCCCTGCGCTCCCCTCCTCACCCGCGCCTCCGTACACGCCCTGTGTCGAGGGCTGGCTCCGCCGTGCCCCTCACTCCTCCTCGTTCCCCCCTACCTCCGCACCGCTGCAGACACTGCTCATGGAGGTCTGGGGCCTCGCCCCCGTCCATCGGCAGTGTCGCGAACACCACTTCCTAGTGCTTGTCGATGACTACACCCGCTACACCACCGTCTTTCCTCTGGAGCGGAAGGCCGACGTGCATGACGTTCTTCTTCCATGGCTTGTCTCTGCATGTGTTCACCGAGGTCTCCCTGTCTTGCGTCTTCACTCCGACCATGGTGGCGAGTTTTCCTCTGGCTGCCTTGGTCATTTATGTCGTGCGGAGGGCATCACCCAGACGTTCATCCTGCCGGGCTCCCCGCAGCAGAATGGGGTCGCTGAGCGACGCATCGGTTTGGTCATGGATGTTGCTCGTACCTCCACGATCCATGCCGGTGCACCCCATTTTCTGTGGCAGTTCGTCGTTCGCTACGCCGCTCACCAGGTTAACGTGTGGCCGCACCCTCAGCGGTCGCAGGTTTCGCCGACCCTCCTCTGGACCGGGTCTCCTGGTGACGCGTCTGCGTTCCACGTCTGGGGCTGCCTCTGGCACAGACAAGCTCACTGCCCGCACTGTCCCCTGTGTCTTCCTAGGTTTCCCCCTCGATTCATCTGACAAGCAGTTCTACCACCCGCCTTCTCACTGCTTCTTTCATTCTAGCGACGTCTCTTTTGACAAGTCCGTCTCCTTCTACCACCGTTTTCCCCAACGTGGTCCCCTGGTCACTCCTCCCCAGTTCCTGGTTCCCCCCCCTCCCTCGGTCGCCCCTGTTCCCCCCCCACCCCGCCCTGCCCCGTCTGGTGTGTCTCACGTCACCCCCCTCCCGTCAGTTGTCCCTGCTGAGGAGTCTGCTGACTCTCGTGACTCGGCGGAGTCTCTTCCCCCGCCTTTCCCTGCCCCACTCTCCCCTCCCCTGTCGCCGCCGTTGCTGTCCCAGTCGCAGCCACCTCCGCCTCTGCCGCCGCAGCCGCAGCCGCAGCCGCCGTCGTCACCGCCGTTAGGGTTCGTGCGTTCTCGGTGTGCTGG